TTAGATTTTTTGTTGCCTTGTTTGATAGGTTTGAGTTCAGTCATTATCATACACTTGAGCTTCAGAGATGATGTGAAGTAGATCGTTGATATAGACATTCCACAACATGAGGCAAAGACTATTTCCCTATAGTATGCTGGCACTAGCTGAATGTCTTGCAGATTCTACTCCATATACGATAGCTTTAGAGCCCGTGCACGATGGTGGTGTCTTATTAGCTGTAAGATGGAGCATAATATATCTAGTGTTTGAAGGTTTACAAGCATTTCAAAATGCAATGCCCGGTCAAAGGTACCCATGATGTCATGTTCAAAAATACCGCTAACTTTGGAGTTATAAAGTGACTTGAACCACTTAATGGAGATGTTTCATAAATGATCAGCAGCAGAACAACATTTCCTGAAATCATATTGTCACCCCATTGCTGATTGTAAAAAATAGATGTTATTTCTTGAATTTATTATCTCAAGAATTTTGCAAAAAACTGAAAGCACTGATTCGTAGTTACCGACCTCTAAATGGCTACATTTTTTGTGGACTGGCTACGTTTGTACTATTCCATAGAAAGAGCTGCATTTCTTGAGCTAGGCATAGTTGGCAGAGGCGAGTGAGAGGTGCGTGAGGTGAGGGTTGAGGCCTGTAGGCTTGTATAAGTGCTTATGTCTCCGGTCAAACTCATCCCGTCCTTTAGACTTACTTGTGTCAAGTGATTTAAGTGGGTGGTACTTTCTCTTCTTCTTCCACTCTCTCTCTCTCTCTCTCTCTCTCTCTCTCTCTCTCTCTCTCTCTCTCTCTCTCTCTCTCTCTCTCTCTCTCTCTCTCTCTCTCTCTCTCAAGTTGTCTCATTCGTGTGTCACTGTTCTCCGCATAGTGGCAAATTTTAATAATTTATATAACTAAAACGATAAGTACAGCTACTATTAAATTTTTTACCCATGAACAATGATGTATAATAATCATAGAGCACGAATCATGTACCAAAACAACAGCACGTGATCCCGCACGGTATTAAAAACAATCGGAAAACTCGAAATAAGCCTAGGAAACGTGATAAAAGGGAATAAATCGGGTTAGTGAGAGAGTCCATCATTAATCAGATGGGAGGAGCGGCCCCCCGGACGACCCAGACAAGAAACTGATCGCAGAGACACGAGACGCGGGAAGGTTGCCAAACACCACCACCACGGTACTCAGTTGACCCTCAAAAACTAAGATTTATCGACCACATGACATTAATATTAAGTATAGTAAATTGTTAATATTTATTAATTGCATTGGTTCTGCTATTTTATGTATTATGATTATTATTTATTATAGTCCCAATACTTAAATAACTGTTTACAACACCTTGATAAAGGATTTAAATTCATCCGAAAATTCGGTTTAATAGTACACTTACACGTGTATAGGGGTTATTTCTTCATGTTTATTACTACTATCATTATTATCATCCCGTGATCTTGTGAAGAAGGCATTAAACGCTCGAGTTTTTCCCTATTGCGGCGGGTTGTCAAGTTAATGTGTAAGTGGTGCTTCTTGACCGGCCAACGACCTGAAGGCAGGACTCCCACTGACAAGTGGGGTCAAGGAACGTCTCTGCTCCTCCTCCTCTGGCATATTTGGCTAAAGATTTTCATTAGACGATACATTTTCAATAAGCAGATTCCCATTTTATATTTGTTTCACTGTGAACTAAATCTCAATTTTATTTATTCTCTGGACAGATTCCTATTGTCTATATTTTATCTATGAAGAGATCCCTATTTTCTTTATTCACTATGAACAGAGTCCTATTTTATATTTTCATTTAAGAAATAACATTCTTTTTCTAAACTGCTGAAACACGCCAGTGCCACCATGAAGATTTAATTCTCCTTCTACTAAGGAATTAAAACAAAATAATGATTAGTATGGGAAGATTATTTACAACCGTTATTACTAGCTCCCCTTCCCTCAAAACCATAATTCAGTGTCATTATTGTACTTATTTTCCTTACTAATAAGGTCAAAGGTACGGTGGAAGACTCTCTGAGAAAGGTCAGTGTTCCGGATTAGTAGGAAATGGGAGATTTGTATGTACACATTAGTTTATTATTATGGTGGTACTACCTAGCAAGCGACTGGGGAGAGAAATGTGTAGATAGGCAGAAAAGAGAAAAAGGAAGAAAAGAGAGAGAGAGGGGGTGAGAGAGAGAGAGAGAGAGAAGGAATGGCGGGCATAAGAGAGGTAGAGGTAAGGAATGGTAGAGAGGAGAGAAAAGAAAATGTAGAGAGAGAGAAACTAAAAGGTGGAAAGAGAGAGAGAGAGAGAGAGAGAGAGAGAGAGAGAGAGAGAGAGAGAGAGAGAGAGAGAGAGAGAGAGAGAGAGAGAGAGAGAGAGAGAGAGAGGGAGAGAGAGGCTCGTATGTTCCTCACCCCCGTCTAGGCTTCATCCAACTGCTTCCTTGACCTTTAGCTGCTATTAAATTCCAGTTCTTTCACCTCTGACCTCTACACTCGTAGTAACATGGAATTAGTTTCTTTAACTAGTGAGTAAGGGAGATATAAGGGGTGGGAGGAAGGGAGGCGGGACTTGAAGGTGGGAAGGAGGTATATGGGAACGAAGAAATAGAGAAAGGGAATAAGGGAAGAAAGTTTCATACAGAGGGAAGAAGAGAGGATGAAGAGAGTTGCTGGAAAAAAATAAAGAAAACATTTTAACTGTCATAAGTTATATAGATACATACAACATAAAATTCAAGGCTACTGCCCTAAGAATAAGCAATCTTAGTTACGATGATATGAATCTGGCATTGTGACCCAGGCGAACAACCCTCTTCCATTCTTGTACATTACCCCTCTTCCTTTCAGCCCCCATCCCATTTAACCCTTTTCTTTTCCTTTCGCTGTACCTCAGAGTTACACACACTCGCTCTGGGTCGTTACGTTAGCATGCGCGGGGGTTCGCATGCTTCAGTGTGTCTGCTATCAATCAATGGAAACTTTTCTCAAAACCCGATCCAAAGTAAACCTACTGTGAGGAGAAGAGTTGGGATAGGAGGAGGGGACGAAGTGTGGATAGACAGCAAGGGAATTGTTTGGGGGTGGGGGAGGTTAGAGAGAGGATAACGGCTGGAGGTAAGGGAATGAGAAGGGTTAATAAAGTTGAAGACAGGGAAGGTGGAGTAAAGATCGGAGATAGAGGGAATGTTGAGGTGAAACAAAGATTCCAGACAACGGGATTACTTGTCCGTTCTCTTAATTATTCTTTCTTAATATTATCTTATTGTCCTGCACTCCGTTCCTTTTCTCACATCTCTTCACTTCCCCAGTCTAGCTTTCTTCCTAGTCTTCTTGGAATGCTCAGTGTATATAATGTTAGTATAGAGCAAAAAATGCCATACAGCCCAGGTGTCAATGCAGGTAATACAGTTATTTACAATGTTGAGTTGCTTTTGTTTTGAGTGAGATTTGACAACAATTTCCAGGGGTTGATCACCCCTTTTCCTCCCAGGGGTGTGGTTATGGCGTGGGGGAGTAGGTTTGACACCAATTCGCTGCTGTTGAGTGCATATCAAGCTCGCGTTCCATGTTTACCTATTCAGTCAAGGTGATATGAGAAAATCAATAGAGACAAAAGAAGAACCTTGAAGAGGCCATTAGTAACGATCTCATTTACACTAAGCAATGTCTACCCACGAGTTATAAAGGATGAAGAATGTTTGTTTATTGTTACATATTTTGTAATTAAATTGCCTGAAACAATGCAGACTATATAAGCACTAGCCGTTCCATACACCGAATATTTTGAGCATTTCTACTTTACTAAATCACAACGAAATAAAATGTAAAAGGAGAACACAGCTCGACAAAATATGAAAAAAGCACTGATTAGGTTAAATAACTTACAACTTGAAATATTATTTTTTAGGGAAGCATATATTACGAGATGACCAGGTTTAAACTGTGAAGATATTAAACTTTATAGTCTGAAAAATGTCCAAGTTCGATATATTGGTGGGTTAGACATATATACGAATGAGTTTGGGTTGATATATATTGGAACTGCCTGCTAATGGCCAGTAGGCCTTCTGGAGTTTCTTGCATTTATATATTTTTGCGTTTTTGTTCTTAAATATCACAGTCCATCCACACAGACGTTATCTCATCATTAACGGTTGAATAAAAAGTTACCAGCTACAATATCAATGGTCTATTGATGGTTAGTGAGATGCTCCCGTCCTCTAAAAGCATCTGTATTTGTACGAGTAGGATCGCTGCTGTAAAATTCTATTTACTGAAAAAATACATTAAACATGTACACATTCCGGGACTAATGACCATCGGCATCGACACGTTTAGTTGGTTTAAATTCATGCGCTTATGTTCCGGAAAACATCCATATTTGACGATTCTCACATAGTAAGAACGGGCTGGGTTCCATTCATAGGAGTCACAGACATTCACATGTATAGAATGAAGCATAAAAATACATAGATATAAATACACACACACATACATATGGTCACATGCACCTATGCATACATACATAAATACACTCGCACAAAGACGGACATGTACCAACTCTCATCCAAGAACTAAATTACGACCTTTGTTCGGATGAGTTTTCAGGCGGCCAAGAGCAGCTCAGGAAGCATTTGTCTTCAGGAAACACTTAGAGATGCACCGGTCTCCAAGGAATGTCTCCTGAGACCCCTTCCTGCCTATCCCTCTTCCTTCTCCCTTCCTTTTTTATCATGCCTTAGGAGACAAGTCTTTTTTAGCACGAGAGAACGAGAGGCTCCTCTGGTGCAAGGTGACGAGAGGTTCCTCTCGAGCGAGGAATCATTGTAATTTTTGTATTGCGAATCTTTTCAACTTCCTTACGAGTGACGTCGAAGGTTAACATTATGTAATAACTTTGTTATGCACAACAGGGCGAGTAAGTTATCTTAAGTACGAGTTATCACAACATTTTTGCTATATTGAACTGAAGTATTTAGAATTGGCTGAAAAGTACAGTATTTTCCAATATTTTTCTGCATGTAGGCTCCGCGAAATTGCCAAGAGTAGAATACATACAAAAATACAAGTCCGTTAAGTACATTCTGGTGGATATTGCAAATGACGGCTGAGGTGGATGACAAAATATGTTAGAGGCTTGTGCTGATGGAATTTCCTATAATAATGGCGGTTTTAAGGGCTGATAATTTAACAGAAAGTAAATAATTGAATCAATGTTATTTTTTCTATGTGTGCGCTAGAAACAAGTCATTGACGTAGTTTTGAACATAGCTACATTCCAATAAAATAATAATGATAAATTTGTAGTGTTCAGGTGGTTTGGCTCTTCATTAATGACCTGGTTAGTGAATGAGATGGACTCCGTCGCCTCGTGTAGTGAGCAGTTTATGGAACGCGTCGCACTGTGTTGACGTGTAGTGAGGCCAGGGGTGCCGTTTGAGGCTTGAAGGAGACTACTATGTACCCTACATGGACACAAGTGGACATACACAGTCCTAGCGCCCCATTCACCGCCTCTTTAAGACGACCCGCCAACTCTCAGGACTGCCCTGTGAAACACATGCCCACCTCCCATCCCCACACCTCCCAGCACTCGCTTCTGCTACTGTATGAAGCGTCGAGGTGCTTCCTCCCACTCAAAGGACCATCCAGAGAAAATCACGCATCTGTGAAGCACTTACCTCGACCCAGACGACTCTCTCGACTGGAGGTAAATCGACCCTTTGACAGCTCCGTCGAGGGCTGTTGCTGCGGGTCGATGAGACAAGGAGAGAGTCAATTGCAAATTATGTCTGATACGGACGACAGACTAGGATCAGGGCGAAAACCTTGCGTCTCATCCTTCTCCAGCGACCATCACGAGTCGCGACTCACATCCTTTCGAAGGCCTTCTCTCGCCATGGCTCCTAAAGGAAACTCTCAAACACCACTCCGTCTGGGACCTCGACGTATTAGCCTCAGAGTCCCATGCGTAGTATTCTCAGTTCGTTTTTTGCTCATGAGCTTTGCCCTGTGCCTCCTGCTGGCGGGAGGCAGTGAGGGTAGTGAGTTCCCGGACCGTGAGTGTTGCGACAGTGTGCCTCCACCACCCCCTAACTACCACCAGGCCACATCAACTACCACAACTACCACCCCCACCCCACACGCCGGACACAACACTTCAACCCTTTCTGGTAAGTTGCATTCATATATATATATATATATATATATATATATATATATATATATATATATATATATATATATATATATATATATATATATATATGTGTGTGTGTGTGTGTGTGTGTGTGTGTGTGTGTGTGTTTATGCTCCTATTTACGTATGACTCGTTGTGTGTTTGTTCAGTTCTCATAGGATTAAATATGCATTTGTATCACAAGTTACAGCTTTCATTTATATATAAGATCTAGGAGTCCAACCAATTACCTCGATAGGTTTGTATGTGATTTCATTGAGGTGAAGTCAAATATTTGTTAACCCTTCTCTAGTTGTATATGTAAGTGACGTATTACAAGTGAGAATTGTAATACAGAAAATTACTGTATTTTATGTAATCTGGTGCGTAATTGATAGTAAGGCTTTAGTTGATAATGAATTGCATGGGATTACAACAATTACAAATAGCTACAGACCGTGAGATCCAAACAATTCTGCTTATCGGAAGAGTACAGTGATACAAGCAATGAAATGTGTACATATGGGAACAAATAGTTGCTTAATCTTTGTTTTTGTACACGGGAGCAAACTTACATCTATACAGACTTACCACGAAGGGGAAAATCAACTTCAGGTCTTCGCCATGAGCCTACACGGGTCCTAAGCAATATTGGGACTCGTACATGTGTGTATGGAATGTGTGGTTAGTATACGAAAAGTCCCCGAGAGCGATAGGTAGTGAATTTCGTTAGATTACAGTAGAGATGATATGCTGAGTTTATATATCAACAAATTTAGTATGGGAATGAGTAGTAAAATTTAGTGAGGATTATAGTAATAGGGGTGAAGGAAACTGAGAGGGGAAGGGATGAAAAGGCATTTTAATACTTGACAGCTGGAAATTGGCATTACAAAACTTAACGTAGTGCAAATCAAGACGCTTGTGAGCGCAACTCAAACATGAAAAGTGTTTAGGTGATTGTGGATTACGTATGTTTCGGGTTGATAGATGCGGCTTATGGTGAGTGTGAAAATTCTGTGAACTACCTCGTCCTGCACTAATGATCGCAAGAGATCAGCCGAAATAGGCGAGACGCATGTTCTTCTGGCAAGTCTGTTAATTCGAATGAAAATCAGATTGCAATAGATTGCAAAATCAGATTTTCAATCTTCTAGAATAACCTATGTAAAATACTGGCTACTCCAGATAAAACGAAGCACTAGGGTACAATATCACCAAACAATTAAGAGGATTGTGAAAGAGAACATTGTGTGATTAGAAGTTGCTATTAAACTGTTCCAGAAAGAAGTCTTATGGATTTTGGGATGATATTAGAGCAATAAAAAGTTCAGTGCTGACTTGCTACAAAACACACAGACAGACATGCTACAAAATGTCTGTGAAACCTCTGCACATTTTGGTCGTAATGATAAATACCTGCACATTGTAGCCCATGCAGTGGTTGAGAAAGCTATAATGAAGCCAGAAAATTAAAGTTATGATAGCTCCGTTTAACATATACGTTGATAGTCTTAAACTTTGGAGGACGAAACTGTGTCTTTCTATCCAGGGGTCTCCCAGGCTTTCTCTTCCCACAAGCCAAGCAATTAGCATATCTTAAAAAAATTAGGTAACCAGCTGGTAATTAAGTTAACAAGTGCTAATAAATTCTTCCTCATTATGTGACACGAAAAGCGTGCACCATTTCTGTTTGCCGGAAACTGTTCAATCTATAAAGTTTTTATGTGGCTGACAGTAATATATATATATATATATATATATATATATATATATATATATATATATATATATATATATATATATATATATATATAATATATGACACCTTTGATGGGGTACCCGGCGGTGATGGGGTAGACATGGTCTTTCTCTGCTTCAGTTTCTATGTCTTCTGTTAGTTCGGTATGTTTTTCTGTCTCTGTATCACTTTGTTTTTTGGCTTTGCTCTGTCTCTTTATATATCTGAATGTCCCCCCCCCTCCCCCTCTCTCTCTCTCTCTCTCTCTCTCTCTCTCTCTCTCTCTCTCTCTCTCTCTCTCTCTCTCTCTCTCTCTCTCTCTCTCTCTCTCTCTCTTTCTCTCACACACTCTCTGTCAATTTGTCTCTAGCTGTCTGTCTTTCTTCGTCTCTGTGTCCACGCTGTGGGCCACTTGGACACATTCGCTACAGGCCGTGGGATGTGTGTGAGTGGAGGATTAACTCTCAGGAGGAATTGGGTATGCAGGTTTGGGGGATGAAGGAAGTTTGATGTCATGAATACATATTACAGGCTGTTATGGGCAAAGTACGATCAAATAAGTTTTACATTTTGCGTACATCGATGCATAATATTTAGTATTAAGAAATAACTGAAGAACAATAAAAACACAAGTAATTCTGAATCTAATTATTAAGATATTGCATGATTCGATGTGTGTAGGGTCCAATTTGCATTGGGTCAAATGGCATTTGGTTCATTTATGCAATCCCTGACCCGAGTATGTAGGGCATGTACCCAACAGCTATTACTGTCAAACATTCAATCATTGAATAAGGCTAGCCCAAAGTGTCTGGCCTCTAGCCTCGAACAGACACATTTATTGGCATGGATATGCAATATATTTATTAAAACATATCCACATGACTTTCAGATGCTTTTATGTTGATATATTTAGCTCTGAGTAATTGCAACTCAGAGCTATATATAGCTTTGTAAGATTACACAACTGTAAATTTCATTTCGGTTCGTTTTCCTATTTTCAGCAATACACACAATGGTTGTTTTTAATTTAACTGAACGTTTTCCACTAAATTTCCTTGATTTCTTGGCTACAGGACCTGACGAACAAGATTGTTTGGTTATAAAAAAAAAATTATTTCACTGTTCCACCGTTCAGATCTCGTGAAATACTTGTGATCAGTCTGATTGGCAACAGCATGTGAAAACTTTCAGAAAATAAATACATTTCTAAACTTTATCATGGCTTCCTCCAAGCCGTGTTCTTGGGTGATATCTTTCCAATATTGGAATGAGAGCTCTTGATGCATTATGGGAAAAGTTTGTTAGATTTTTATGTTTGGTAATTTTGCACCACAGTTTGCTTTGTTATGAACAATTTAGAGGAATGTTTAATATGTTAGCCGCTCTAGTTTATGTTCTGTATTGATTCAAACTATATATATTTAAAAGATGTATATGTTAAAGTGTGTATTGGTGTAGGTGTGAAGAGGCATTAGAATGTAAGAGGTAGGTGTGTAGTGGTTCCTAAGTGTGTAGATATTATTAGCCTGAGACGGTTAAGCAGGGGGAGCTGCCATGTAGGTGAACATACGTTTATAGAAGTTTGATTTGTTCTGTTAGTATTTGCTGCCTTTGCTAAGGAAAGAGAGAGAAGAGATGGCCTTCAATCATTACTCTCTGTCTCTGTCTCTGTCTGTCTCTCTCTCTCTGTCTGTCTCTCTCTCTCTCTCTCTCTCTCTCTCTCTCTCTCTCTCTCTCTCTCTCTCTCTCTCTCTCTCTCTCTCTCTCTCTCTCTCTCTCTCTCTCTCTCCCTTTCTGTCTCATTACGCATCCCCTTCCATTTCCTTCTCAAAATTATGACCACACTGTTACATAATTCAATTAGTAATGACTTGCCGCGTGTGAGAAAACACCGCTTGGGTATAATTAATGAAATTATCTGTATATAATTCACTTTTTATGTTAAATATTATATATCTAATAATGATAAAAATCATTAAACCTACAAATTCGGACTAATGATAACATTAATGACTTTTATTATTATTACAGTTTTAATAATAATAATAATAATGACACTAACTAATAATATGATGTTGTTATTACAGTAAATTGCATTTATGAGTAATTTGCCTAGAAAACTGTGCACCCAGAAAATTGTATTTAGTATAAATTTTGATTTGTTAATAGAAACATCATCTTTGATGTTATCTGTGAGGTATTCAAAGGTAAGGGGAAGGACACCCAGCAACAACTTTAATCACAGTTATTGATGTCTTAGCTTGTGAGCGTAAACAATAACATGTGTATTAGTGGATCAAGACACGATATTCTCTAGGCATATGAAAAGTCACAATAACGTGGCTAAAAAAAGGTTGACAAAACTACACACTAGAAATAGAAGAGATGACGACGTTTCGATCTGTCCTGGACCATTATGAAGTCGATTGTCACCATCGACTGTGACAATCGACTTGATAATGGTCCAGAATAATAGTCAACGATATTCTCTAACTTTGGAAAAGGGTTGTACGTGTTCTGTAGTTGGGGGTATTCGGATTTTTTTTTGTTTCATACTTTTCATTATGTCCAGTGAAGTGAGAATTACACACATTTTTTGTTGGTGCATTCACTCAAATGTGGTTTGAAAGGTCGATCGTCAGCTCCTAGATCCTCTTTTTTTTTAATATATTTAGTTCAATGACTAATCATTGCACTAAAATATACAATCTCAATATATAATCTAATCAATGATCACATATAGGCTTTCTAATGCCGGCGTTAAATTAGTTTTCCTCTTTTGACACACGTTTTTGGCACATTATATTCTTTCTACATTACAATACTTAAAACTGAACTACATAATATAAATAAAGTCTTAAAAAGGGAAAAAAATTAAGCTTATGAATAAAATTAGAATTCCATTTATTAAACTTCTACAGACGTTTGCTAGTCTTCTGTTTATGTTGAAGATTTATACATAGTTTGCTCTCATTGCTCTCACTCATATATATATGTCATTTAAAAAAAAAATCAGCTGATTTGCTCAGAGGAAACTTCACCTGCTAATCATTCGTTCATTTTAAGGCTAAATAATTTGCATATTAAATTCAAGTCTGATTTTTTTTACGCTGTATATTGCTGTTGTTAGCAAATTTTACGACATTCCAGCTCAATATTTTGTATAAATTCTTTAATGTAATGGAAAAAAGGGTACCTAGGAGAGATATATGGGGCACTCCACGTGCAAATATTTTTCACTCTAACTAGAC